TAGTTGTTTTGGGAATCAAAGAATTATAGTTACCAGCATACAGGTAGAAAGAGAAGTGACAATACTACAAGCTTTAAAAGAAAACATTTAATATGATTCAATAAACTGACTGAGGAAGCTACACTGAAACAAATCTGTATGTACACTTAACTACCTGAAACCTATCACTGCCCCACAACACACACACACACACTACACACACACACTACAAGTAAGACAGTTAACTGAAATGTTCTGGAACATTATAAATTCTGGAGACAGTAATAAATTCTGTGAAAAGTTAGAAAATGGTGTATAAAACTCAAAGGTGAGAGAAAATTAGTGAAAAATAAATACACAATATGTTCATTAGCAAATAATTAAGGATAAATGGAGGATATAAACAGAAATACAACATTTTTCTTTTTTGGCTCACTAAAACTCAGCAATTCTATTTTCTATGTGACCACATCTTATTTAAAATGGTTGAAAATATAGGAAATGCATGAGAAAGTAAAAGAATAACAATATAATACAAGTTCAACTGGAAACACAAAAGTATCAAAACAGTGAAAATGAGTGAAACTATATGAATTTCCTAAGGGTTTATATATGAAAGACAAAATTTAAATAACACTTATTTATAATTATTTTGCTATCTTTATAATGATCTATGTATCCATCAAGGCTATCAATTTCTTCAAAGAGAGGAACCTAATGACACATCTCACATCCCCCCATAGCTCACATATAAAAAATGCCTAATGTATTTGCCAAAGGTTAGCAAAACCCTTATACAGCCTAAGAAGTTGGGGGCAGGGCACAGAATCAAACCCTAAAAGTCAAACATTATTTCTTGGTCTGTAATCCTAAAACCTTTGCATGTCTCTTGTCTGTTTTGCTAGGGGTTTGGTTGGGGTGATGGGAGAAATTTTAAAATTATAGGAAAAATGCAAACTTTCTTGGAAGGCCGGAAGGTTTTGCAAAAGCTTCTAGATAGGGTTACGGCTGAAAGCAGCCCAATCCTCTTACCTTGAGTTAATAACTTAGAGTAGGTACAAAGGAATGTAAGGGAGTTTATCTAGAGAGCTTGTTTACACATGTGGTCCTAAGACTGGTCTTTGATCATTCATAGGACTGCTCTCCCCAGGGGAGGGCGATCAGATTAATTACCCACAGGTGTGTTGACTCAATGCCTTTGTCATTAAATCTGTGCTGAATAAATGCCGGCAAGGCCAGCTAATTGGCACACGGCTGCCACAACTCCTTCTGTGAGTGGCCCCCTGCTCTTTCACTGAATATCAGTGTCTGAGTACGTTATTCATCCATCATGCAGCCTTATTCTGTGGGTCAGACTCCCGCACTTTGCAAAGTTCCTTTACACTGATGTCCCTATTTCTAATCAGGCCATAACCAATCATACTGAAGGTGGCTACATGAATCAAGTATGTTCAATGCTCCCTTCTTTCTTCAAAAAAACCCTTTAGGAAAAAATTCTATTTACTTACTTCCAACACTTGCTTTCTTGTTTTGTCTTTTATGAGACACAGTCTCACTCTGTCGCCCAGGCTGGAGTGCAGTGGTGCGATCTCGGCTCATTGCAATTTCTACCTCCCAAGTCCAAGTGGTTCTCGTGCCTCAGCCTCCCAGGTAGCTGGGATTACAGGCATGTACCACCACGTCTGGCTAATTTTTGTATTTTTAGTAGAGATGGGGTTTTGCCACGTCAGCCAGACTGGTCTTGAACTCCCAATCTTAGGTGATCCGCCCACCTCGGCCTCCCAAAGTGCTGGAATTACAGGCATGAGCTACCATGCTTGGCTCCCAACACTTGCTTTCTATTCGTATCTACTACAGCCATTAAAATAAATATTTTCTGATACTAATAATTTATATTTGGGTAACTATGCTTCTTTGCAAAGTTTTAGTAGAATTTTAAGTTTCAATATTTTACATACACTTGAATTTACAAATTGTTTGTTATACTTTAAATAAATTAAGTGTTAATAATTTTAAATACCAAGAATATGCTGGGTTTGCAGAGAGTGGAGAGTAAGCTGCCTAAAATAATTTATTCAAAGATGTTGACCCAGTGGATCTCACAGTTCTATCAAATTCAACACATCCCCTTTATATTTAATTTACATGGAACAAGTATTTATATAAGAAATACTTTACAATGACCCCTCTAACTACCTGAAATGAAATGCACAGGTAATATAACCAATCTACATATCTATTTTAAAAATTAATACACTAATACAAATAAAATTTTTAAAAAGATTTATGATAGAGGCCAGGTTCAGTGGCTCAGGCCTATAATCCCAGCACTTTGGGAGGTCGAGGTGGGCAGATCACTTGAGGTCATGAGTTTGAGACCAGCCTGCAACATGACAAAACCGTGACTCTACTAAAAATACAAAAATTAGCCAGGTGTGGTGGCACACGCCTGTAATCTCAGCTACTCGGGTGGCTGATGCAGGAGAATCACTTGAATCCCCAAGGTGGAAGTTGCAGTGAGCCGAGATTATGCCACTGCACTCCAGCCTGGGCAACAGAGCGAGACAGTCTCAAAAAAAAAGAGAGAGAGAGAGAGAGAGACAGAGAGAGATTTATGATAAAAATATGCGTTTCAGTATGTAAGTATCAGACATGATTTTAGCAGAAGACATACTAACCAGATGCTAATACCTAGACATAAAGTCATAGTGAATGTAACAATTACAAATGCTCATAGACTGGTATACTGGTGACTCAATGCCATAAACATAATTTGATTTTTTGAAATGGTGAACCATTGGCCAAGTTTAGAACAAAGCAAAGTACAAGCTTCCCTCATTGTATACTGTAGTTACATTTCTAGATAATTCAGTGCATGTTAAAACTGAACAAAATATACTTTACGTTCCAACAATGTTTCAAATTTACTTAATTATAAAAAAGTGTTTCGCCTACACAGATATCCAATGAAACACTCAGAGGTCCTGCAGAATGCAGAGCTAGTCTTTGTTGTTTACAGACTGTCCCACACACTACTGGACTACTACCTATCCTGGACCTAAAATGCCCTTAAAAATCATTCTGTTAACTAGAAACATCCTCACAAACTTCTAGAACACCTTCTAGAAAGCAATACTACCCCTACCACTGCCCCCTTGAGAACCACAGCTCTAAGAGTATTATTCCTGACTGAAATAGCTGTGCCTCAGAAAAACCAAGGAATACACAAGCATAATAAAGTATTTGCCAAATCACTGCTGATTGTAAATGCTCATTGTTAATAGTTTGCATGAATTAAAACAGATAAGGTGTCTATAATTAGTTCTGAAAGAGACACTTAAATTTAGCTTTGTTTTCAAGTCAAAAGAAATTCTTAAACAACACACGTATCTGCTGCACAAGAAAACTGAAGGAGAAAAATAAGGCAGGCAAACACTGACACTTGTGGTCATTCTGAGATTGCTTATTTGCAATCAGGCTAATTCTTGCTTTGTGAGTTCAAGGAAAGTAAAGCTGGTTCATAAATCATCCACTGACTTTAGAAGAAAATTACAAGCTTTTAATAAACATTTTACTTCTCTTCAAAAAGGGGAAACTACCTACACTAATATTAAATAACCAAAAAACAAGTCATTTGTCCAAATCCTTTATGTAATGAAAAAGACTGCATCTGATTATAAATAAAAACAGTCAAGAGAAATAAACTCCAAGCAAACATTACACAAAATTGTCTAGTCATCTCAATAAAACTAAAATTGGTCTCTAAATAATTGTGTCAAGTGACAGTTTTCAGAGTGGTATGGTGGAAATTATACCAGACCTAAAACATTAAGATTTTTGTCCAGTATGGAAAAAAATAGCTGGTACTTCTGGTAAGCCCTAGCTGAAATTAATTACTTGAATTCAGGGACCAACCACTTATAATAAAGCACAAACAGGAATGGAGACCAATATAGGAAGACCAGATTCATGTCTCCCTTCCAATGTTACTCAAGGATATTTGCTCATTCCCATTAAATGAAAATCATCCATCCTGGTTGAAGGGCCCTCCCCCTACCCTTTCTCTTTTAATCTTTTTACCAAGGACATATTCGTTGAATGTACATACATAGATAAATAGATGATATAACTCCATGAGTTACTATTTAGTAGCCACTTGAACAGCAGATTTACATCTGATTCAACATGTAATAATCATTCAAAACCATTAACTACCTGAATACAAAATTATTTCTACACCCAGTAAAAACTGAGACTTAGAAGGCATTACAATTCCTGTCTTTAAATTTTGACTCCTTGAAGTCTATACTAGACATGCCCAGAAAAATGCTAAAACCAGTCTGGACAGCTCTGGCCATGATGCACATAGTAATGGCCACCTATTTTTTCCATCACGGATGTGTTGTAAGATTAAAAACAGGCTTATGCAAATGACAATTACAAGCCATTTATAACTATAAAACTTGACAGAATAGCTGCCAGTTTGCTAAGTCTGACAAAGAAACCTTGTCACATTTACTGAGTTAGTTTAACCATAGAATTCAGATGTTAAAAGAAACTAGACTAAAGGAAGAACTTCTACAAGCTCTCCTGTCATAAGATTTTTACAGTTTCTCTTGACTGGAAACATGCAGGTTGCCAGAAAAAGTTACTAAAGGAACTTTATCTCACATCTGCCCTGTTTTCCTGAACTTTTACATAAAGTTCTTAACTAACTTAAACTTAGCAAACAGGTTGGCCGGGCACTGTGGCTCACGTCTGTAATCCTAGCATGTTGGGAGGCCAAGGCAGGCGGATCACCTGAGGTCAGGAGTTTCGGACCGGCCTGGGCAACACAGTAAAACCTTGCCTCTATTAAAAATACAAACATTAGCCGGGTGTGGCGGCACATGCCTGTAATTCCAGGTACTCGGGAGGCTGAGGCACGAGAATCTCTTGAACCTGGGAGTCAGAGGTTGCAGTGAGACAAGATCATGCCACTGTACCTCAGCCTGGGCAATAGAGCAAACCTCTGGGGAAAAAAAAAAAAAGGAAGGAAGGAAGGGAGGGAGGGAGGGAAGGGGTTGCGGGTATACTTTAAAGCATGAAGTAAATGCCAGTTAAGTACACAGGCACCTTTTGTTAGTATTTGGAAGTTTCTTCCTGTTTAAATACTTGCCCCATAACAAGCAAAGTTTCAGTGGCGGGGGGAAACCCACTGGAAATTCAGGGACTCAACCCAATACTGGAGGGACCCACTAATGAGTAGGTTACCCATAAAACTCTCTTAATAATCAAAATCTATAATAATCCAGGGAGACATAAAAAAAATCCAATCAAAAGAACTGGCAAAAAATAATAATTATTTAGTCCTTCCCTGGAGAAACGGGTAGGGAATGTCTCTAAATCAACTTTGTTTCCCCTATACATAATAAGCTATGCCTAAATGCACATGTTGGTACACAGTAGTTAATCAATACGTACCTGTTGAAAAAGTGAAAATATAAACATTCATTTACTATTCTGTTAATGATTCCTGGGTATGCTGTGCCAGTGTTCGAGGGAAAAAAAAAAAAACAAAAAAAAACCTCCCACAATTTCTCTAATAGTGCCATGTAATACAAAGTTTAAGAACAGAGAATGATAGTACTAGATAAATTTAAAAAAAAAAAAAAAAAACAGAGGATAAGAATTTAGATAATCTTGCTTCAATTCCCAGCTTGGCCTCTATTCTTACCAGTATTTATCTGACATTTGGACTAATTATTTTACAATTCCAGACACTGGTTCCTCATCTTTTAAGTGGGTATTACAATAATAAAACTATTAGAAAAGAGCCATTTGCATAACAGCTCAAGTAAGCTTAGCACACAATCTGATTTTGAGTAAATACTTCATAAAATGGTCATTGTGGCTAGCTTCACAGTCAAATCCTATGTAAGGAATCACTGATAAATAAATACTGATCTACAAAAATGCATCTGTACTTCTGGAAAATAAGTTATTTTAAGTAAGTTCTTAAGCATTACTCTATTAACTAGTCAACTAATTTTAAAAACAAAAAGGTAGTGAGTGAGAACTGTAGTATGGGTGGATATAGACTACAAGGAAGTTGGGTTTTAGTCCTCTTCTTCAAACTAGGAAAAGTCAAAGATCAGTCTAGGCTTTAGGTTTCCCATTTATAAAATTCTTTTTATTTTTTTCTTTAATGATCCTTCTAACATTTCTAATACAGTGGGGTTCTTAAAACTACAAAGCACATTTCATCAGCAAAGCTCAAAAATATGTGCACAAAAATTTTTTGAGTATCAGAGAAAATATAAACTCATATTCATTTGAAATAGCAGATATTAATGGGGGAGACAGATGAGAGGAAGAATATGCATGTAACTGTTAACCTTTAGCTTAAGCTCCAAAACTGTAACTTTGTAGGATTGAATTACTGTCCCTAGAGTCTCAGAGGAAAAACTGATAATAAAGGCTATTTACAACAAAAAAAACCTTTTTAAAAAACCTCCCTACTGCTCTGCAGTAAGAAAAGCAGCAAGGTGCCAGCCCCAGAAACTAACCATATAAGAAAAATCTCAGTGAGTATGTAGTGCTAATAAAATCTGCTTCATGGCAAGTTATTAAATCTTACTGAAACATCAGAGTAAGTAAACATAATTAGTAAAATCTCATTACCCCCCAGATCCTATACAAGTGTGCTATATCTATTATATCATTTTACTGAATTCTACGATACATATAATTTTAAACAGAAAGAAAAATAAATAAAAAGTAAATGCCAACATTAAAAAGTGATTTAAAGTGAAGTTTTCTGCCATCAAGAACACCAAAAGCCACATAAGAGCAAAAAAGAAGTGGGCTGTATCACATCATGCATTAGTAAAGTAATCCATGACAGCTTATTTATATAAACCCCAGAAAACTGGGGGGTGGGGAAAGGGGGGAGGAGATCTAAGTTACAAAGATATATGGCTTCAATAGAAACCATAGGTCTTAACTAGACATTAGTAAAATCAAGAGCAATTTGAAAGCAGGAAAAAAAAATTCAAGAAGAGAATGCACTGAAGGGGTTAAATTACACCAACTTACACACAAAAGCTTATACTGCCTACACCCTACAAAAAAGCATGTAAGAAACATTAAAACTAACCTCTAACAGAGAAAACATTTAGAAAGCCTGTACTTAAGAATAAAGTTAAAAGGAAATAAGCTGGAAAAAATAAAATCATAACCATTCATTTTATAATCATCACATTTTCAAATTATTCACTCATCACTACACTTGCATTGAACATATATAATTTATCACATAAAAGCAAAATCTCTAAGCTTCTCCCTACCTTAGGTTTTTAGTCAAAATGAATGCAAACAATCACGTGGGATTCAGCCAAGCAGTGACGTTAAATTCTGCTCTGTCAGAGAGAGCATCTGTCAAGCCCACATTTAAACTGCTGCCTGCCTGTGCAGCAGCTGAGGAACCGTGGATTTCATATTATAGACTAAAACCCCATTAAAACTGCTCGAAATCCTTCCCGCAGCTGCCAGGCAACAACGAAAGAAGAGAGGTAAATCTTATGCTTTTCCAATACAACTGAAGCACTACATTTTAGCTCTGGCTGCTTTACATTGCAGCTCAGTGTTATTACTAGAAATATGGATACTGAGGCGAGAACACAGCTCTGCATTGTCCAGCCAGGAAAATAGCAGATGTAAAAAGCTTCAATGCATCAACTGTCGGGAAGAGTCAACAGTGCTACAAGCAGAACGGACAACTACAGCTCTTTTGTTTAACGAAAGAGAGAGAAAACGAAAGAAAGGGAAAATTTCAGAAGACTAGGACCCATATGAACAAGGAGGGTAACTCGAAGACAAGCAGACAGATGGACACTTTGGATACTGTGAAAAGCAATCGCAGGAGGCAGACTGTTGGGGGATGTGCGCATGTTCGATAGCATCTTTTTTGCTGAAGTGATGGCGTGCCAAAAGTATTTTCAGTGGGCATAATCCTCTTCACACAAATGGCCTGACCAAGGAAGGTATGTCAATATCTTGTGTATGATAGTCATTTAAATGTGTTACCTTTTTATAGCCCTGGAGGCAATAATACCTGATAAGCAAGTTCATACAGTTCACTGCCCTTGAAACTATGAAAGGGTTTCTTAATATCTGATTTTAAAATTTGTCATTGTTTAGAAGACAAGCTGTCACTGCTTTATGCAGCTAAATATGTAGCTTGGAGTAATTCTGGGTTATAGACATCAGAGGGAAAAGGCAAATAAAAAGAAGATGTGTTTAAAGGATTCCTTAAGAAATTAAACTTAAAAAAAAAATCTGTAGCCCTTTACAAAAAAACACAGCAATATTCTATCAAATTGGGTCATACTGAATCCTTATCTAGTGAATTAAATGCTCTCTTAAAAATGGCTATCAAAAGAGACAATGCAGTGAAATTACATTAAATAGTAGCAAGGAAAACCTTAAGAGTTTTTTTTCAGAGTCCTTTTAAAACAAAACCTTAATATATAACAGTTTTTAGTAACAAAATCTTCCCTTCAACATCTCCCTAAATGAAGATAATGAACCCAACCAAAGAAAGTATCAACAAATTTTATTACCAAGCTATAAGAAGATACTAAAAGGAAAGCATTAACACAAGATCACATAAGGTAGTGTGAGTTTATGCATAACCCCACAATAGAGCCTCATGTTATTATAGTGTCCATGAATAGAACTTTAAACAAAGGGACATCAATAGTTGATTTAAAAATCAACTATTTTAAATAGCTTATATTTTATGTAAAAGACTGATTCCAAATGATCAAATTTAACGTTGTCTCTGATTATCATTTTAAAAGTGAAATTCAAAAACATAATATGAAAATACTTTGATGCAAAAATACCCACAAACGGCAATACAAGGTCAAAAAATTACATATAAATGTAGCTACTATGCTTCCAGGCTATATTAATATGCAGTAATGAACTACTACCACTATATGTGTGTGCAGGGCACAGATAAATCAAACTATTTTAGCAACAATCATAGAATAGCAACTCAGGGCTCAAAAACACAAAGATATTTCTAAAATTTTACAAATCTATCAAAGATCCTGATTTTTCCTCAATTTCAAACCACAACTCAGTAATTATCTAATATTCACAAAAGGCAAACATTTTAAAAATATGTAAGTCCTGCATTCCAAAGTGACGATTAAACAAATTTACCAGACTCTATTACATCTCAACATCACTCTCAATCATGAATTTTTATTCTAATAAAGACTAATAATAAATAGTACTAAAAAATATGGTTGTAAAAATTTCAAGTCCCTCTTGCTACCTTTATCTCTCAATATTAAAGTCACCAATTAAGCAGCTTTATAAGCTATACATCTCAAAACGAAAGTGTAAGTTTTTCTATTAAACCATCACCAATAGACTAAAGATATCAACACTTTTAAAAGTCAAATGATAAAAACTGTGTGTGTACTGAACAACATTTTACAGTAACATTCTCCCCACGAACTTCATCCACAAGTTATAAATAAAAATTAATAACGTAAAGATATCAAAAAAGAAGAGAAAAACCAAAGCTATTTATTTTCTAAAAATGTAAAAGTGCAAAACTATTCTGCATACTAGCACTATTCTGCATACTATTGAACTTTCTTGTCTTGCTCTCTCTTTTTAAGAATTAAAATACAACAGGCAATAACTGGAGAATAATTTTATCACTTAATAAAAAGGAGGCATGGTTATTTTAATTTTATATTCTTTTTAACAAAAAAATTTGTAAGACCTGAGAAACTTTTAATAAGGAATTTTTTAAAGGCTAGACACATGCACTTCATTTATCAATGGGAGATTTATAGTTACATATGGATTTAACATCTCAGTAGCTTAATATCTAAAACATACAAATACCATGAAGTCTAAATTAAGATGCAGCTCTATCACACACTGTTACAAAATCATATTAGGACCAAAACTATGTATTTATGCTAGATTACAATATGCAATAATTTGCTGCTTTCTGTACTACTAAAATACTTTGGAGACATGACTTTGGGTATATTGTTCTTATAAAAGCAACAAATTATGATTATTTTCCATCATTCATTTACTCAGTCCTTTAACTCAAACATCCATTGAAACACCTGACCTTATTGTTTACTCCTTCTTACACCATCAAATTTACACTTTAAAAAAAAAAAATCTAAATGACTGGACTTCAATCAGATTCCAAGTGTTATTATATCAGAAGAAAACAGATATACTTAATTTATCTTTGTAACACTTATTTTGTTTCTTTTAAATTTACATACACAACCTTTATATCTACTGGTGTCTTTATGAAGTGGAGGGGAGAGTCATTACTATTTACCAAATATGTCATTTGGAAACAAAAGCTTAAAAATAGTTCCCTAGTCTAAAAAGAATGGCCAGCTACTTACAAGTACAAGAAGGAAAACACAGAGTTTCTAAATCAGAATGCTCAGCTGTATTATTTTCAGCTTAGCTCACAGCAGAACTATGTTTTGTTGGTACAGTGAATAGCCTTGGTTTTCATTATAGTAATGTTGAGTTTAAATTCATGTAAATAAATTCCAACAAATAGCACACTAGATGATTTGCTTTTAAAATTCCAAACTTAAAAAAATTGTTCACATCTTTCAAAATGCTTAATTTTTTTACATTTTAGAAATAATAACTTCTAAAAGTACTCTGTAAGCTCAGAAACTAGAAATTTCAAACGCTGGTGCCTCTACGGTTGGACCTTAGATATCTGTTCAAATTCCCACCTACTTGCTCCTCCTAGTGGCGGCTACTATAATAGTACTTTCATTCATTTATGTCTAACACTTTCAATCAGTATTTTCAAAGTACTTAACACTATGTATGTGAATTTTACTTTGTAACTATTCAATTATATGGAGATTTCCATGTAACTTCTATTTCCTAGAAGTAATTAAACTTATGCCAAGGTTAAACAAATTTAATGTTAACCATGACTCTCTCAATATCACAGGCTAAATATACATTTATGTATACACTGTAATTTCAAATAAATGCTCCTATATTAAAACTTTTTAATTAATTTATTTTGCTTAAAGAAGTAATTTTCATAATAAAAATTTGGAAAAATTAAAATTACATATTCATCACTCTTTCTTGCCAAAAAGTTTTTTCCTGTTTTAATGAACTTCAAACCATAGCTCTTCGCCCACCTCTACTCCCTTGACATATTGGTCCCAAAAAACTGAAAACAACAACAAAAACACTAACAACAAACGTGAACAAATCTGTGCTATGCACTGAAAACCTTGTTGCAAGATACCATAACCAGTTTTTAACATACAGCATCATGAACCTCACATATTGCCATCTCATACCTTTATAAAATACAGGGCTCTAACTGTGCTAATGACAAGTTCTAAAAGTTTAACAAATTGTCTGCATGTAAATTTAGAATAAAGCACAACTCAAGGATATTTAAAACTATACTGTGAAATTCAGAATTTTAAACAGTTGGTTTCAAAGTAACTCTTTTAATTCTAACATGGAGACTCAACCAAGACATGTAACAGTGTTCTGCCAAAGCCATAGATAATCAAAGAAAATTACATGCTATATTTTAAAATTAATCTTAAGTCTAAGAACAATTATATCATGAATACTTCATATGTACAATGAAAAGTTAAAAATTTTGAAAGTGTTAATCATTTATTACTGTCTAAAAATCCTACACTGAAGTTATTGGACACTGAAAATTAATTTTGACAGGTGCATCTTCTCATTGACTCTCTCAACACAGTAGGGGCCAATGGAAACATGCCAAGCAGTGTACTGTGACTAACAGAACTCTGCCATAATCAACCTTGCACCGTCTGTCCCACAACTGATACATGACCATTTTACAAAAAAGGCCTCTGACTGCGCACCATACCACCAATAGTATGTCAAATCAATTTTAATTAATGCCAATAAATTTTCCATCTGCTCTTAAGGCCTTTTTACACAATCTTTCTCAGAAATCTAGTAACGTTTTTCTCAAATACATGCAACTTTTAAATCTTTAACTTGGGTCAAAAGTACAAATGACCAGCGTACCAAGACAATGAAATGAATAAATCACCTCATCTCTTTAAAATGCTCACCATGCTAAAAAGGTATATTTTTAAATAAATTAATCTTGTTCTCAGTGATGTTATGTTGTCAAGGGGAAATAAATTATAAGCTTCATTCCTGGATTATATTTTCACAGCTTAAGACATTCCTATTTGCCCTGATCATATTAGTATCCAAAGTCCCTTTCAGGCAGTTCTGTAAACTTTTGTGCTTCATTTTTGTAGAATGACTACAAGAGAGACAATGTGACTGAATTAGAAAATGATTGCCAAAGAATAGTATTAAGGAGAAGAAAACATTTTTGGTCACCAATCTCTCATATACCACTACCGGACATTTACAACATGCTTCAGTGGAGGAGAAGACACTGCTGCTTTGCAAAGATGACCTGGAATGCCAAGAGGTCTCTGTTCCGCACTCATCTCATTGGAGTACTTTCTCTAGTGTTTCTTTTTGCTATGTTTTTGTTTTTCAATCATCATGACTGGCTGCCAGGCAGAGCTGGATTCAAAGAAAACCCTGTGACATACACTTTTCGAGGATTTCGGTCAACAAAAAGTGAGACAAACCACAGCTCCCTTCGGAACATTTGGAAAGAAACGGTCCCTCAAACTCTGAGGCCTCAAACAGCAACTAACTCTAATAACACAGACCTGTCACCACAAGGAGTTACAGGCCTGGAGAATACACTTAGTGCCAATGGAAGTATTTACAATGAAAAAGGTACCGGACATCCAAATTCTTACCATTTCAAATATATTATTAATGAGCCTGAAAAATGCCAAGAGAAAAGTCCTTTTTTAATACTACTAATAGCTGCAGAGCCTGGACAAATAGAAGCTAGAAGAGCTATTCGCCAAACTTGGGGCAATGAAAGTCTAGCACCTGGTATTCAAATCACACGAATATTTTTGTTGGGCTTAAGTATTAAGCTAAATGGCTACCTTCAACGTGCAATACTGGAAGAAAGCAGACAATATCATGATATAATTCAACAGGAATACTTAGATACGTACTATAATTTGACCATTAAAACACTAATGGGCATGAATTGGGTTGCAACATACTGTCCACATATTCCATATGTTATGAAAACTGACAGTGACATGTTCGTCAACACTGAATATTTAATCAATAAGTTACTGAAGCCAGATCTGCCTCCTAGACATAACTATTTCACTGGTTACCTAATGCGGGGATATGCACCCAACCGAAACAAAGATAGTAAGTGGTACATGCCACCAGACCTCTACCCAAGTGAGCGTTATCCTGTCTTCTGTTCTGGAACTGGTTATGTTTTTTCTGGAGATCTGGCAGAAAAGATTTTTAAAGTTTCTTTAGGTATCCGCCGTTTGCACTTGGAAGATGTGTATGTAGGGATCTGTCTTGCCAAGTTGAGAATTGATCCTGTGCCCCCTCCCAATGAGTTTGTGTTCAATCACTGGCGAGTCTCTTATTCAAGCTGTAAATACAGCCACCTAATTACCTCTCATCAGTTCCAGCCTAGTGAACTGATAAAATACTGGAACCATTTACAACAAAATAAGCACAATGCCTGTGCCAACGCAGCAAAAGAAAAGGCAGGCAGGTATCGCCACCGTAAACTACATTAGAAAAGACAATTTTTTTTTTCAAATGTGCAATTTGTAAATATTGCTAAAAGCATGTATAGTTAGAACTGATTACATCCGTAGGACAAGTTTAAGTTAAAACTCATCACATAAAGAAATTCAAAAAGTATTTTTTTAATTTCTGAAGAAGTTAAGTCTTAAAACTATAACATTATATAACAAAAAAGGTGTCCCAAAAGATCTATTTAAAAAACTGTATAAGGGGATTCTGTGTATTAACATGCAATAATAAGCATGCATAAATCAACGGTTCAAGTCCTCTGTTAGGGGCCAATAAAATGTATCTGCATACATTTTCCACATAAATTTTAATTTCAGAAATGACAGTCAAAAGATTCTTCATTTTAGATATAGCTTTTCATTTTAATATATAATTAAATGTAAATAAAACATCACTATCAATTTTAAGAAAACTTTGTAATTGTGCAAAGGATAAATTTTTTGACCTGACTATTTTAGGGTTCTAAATGCAATAAGATTTAGTTGAGTTATTCCACAAACACATTATAAAGTTCAGATGTTTCATCAATGCAGTTCTCATGAAAGTATTTACTTTTTAAAAATAACTGAGATATTCTTTTAAATTTCTTTTATTAATACATATATCGGGGAAAATTATTTTGACATGACGTGATAAAATGTGAAAAACTAATGTGTCTCAGGCTCAAGTTTTTAGTTACTAAATGTTTCAAAACAGAAAAGTTTTGTTTCCTCATTGGTGTTAAGAACCAAACTGCTATTTCAATGAGTTATTCAATTAGACCAATTACTGCACTTTTAAACAGCACCACCATTTAATTTCATGTATATCTGACTTCGAATATATCTGTAAAGATAATCGAAGCAAAAGTAATTACTTAAAGGCACAAATAGGATGTACTGTTGAAAAAAGATAAAGAGTATGGTGCAGTTTCATTCAATACATTTTTAAGATGCATGTGTGCCAAAATGTAACATACGGGAAATTTACTTCCTGACAGCAGGTGTACACATGCCAATACTCAACCATTTTATGGCACCTATTTCTTTCTTGGAGTGCCAAGTTTACAAATCTGCAGTTTTTAATTTGGTAGATGACAAATATTCTGAATCACCAATTAAAAACCCTTTGGGGAGGGATGGGGAAAACTATAAATGTTTGACAAACACAATTCTAGGATGAACAATGTATACAATGCACTTTTATCAACTTTTTAAAAATAAAGGAAAACAAAAAACTTTACTGAGTGTTATGATACAAGTATTTTCACAGTAATTTTGTTTGACTCCATCATGAATTTTAAAATCAAGAAAACACCAACCTACTAACCAAAATAGTGTTTTCATTCCATACAAGTATGTAAATTTGTCTATTTTTAGTCAGAATGTTTCTTAATTCTAATAACAATCATTTTTACCTCTGATTCTATTATTAAGGGATAAATTACCAGAAGAGAATTGTAACATCTGTGAAACTTGAAAACACTAAAACTGTTTAAGTACTTATCTCCATTTCAAATCAGTAGACTAAGTGTTCTATTCTAAGTGAAGTGATTCTGAAAGCTGATCTATGTAACGCACCCCAGTTCTTGGATCAAGTCTGTTTTTAACTTAATTTATCCTATATGACTACAGAAACACCAGAATTACTTAATAAAAGTCACACATAAGAGGATAATACCAAATCAGATCAGTATGTTTGACAGAAGACAAAAGGAATCCTTCCCTCAGTATAGAATAATATTCTCTGATTTATGCCACAAAAGTTAAAAAAAAAAAGTGTGTGTGTGTGTGTGCAAAGGTGTGTACATAGAAAGAGAACTCAAGTACTATTTGTCCAAATTTTGACTATAGTGCAAGATCTTTAAAAGAGTAATTTCCATCTGGAAAAAGTTTTTATAAAAATGACTCATGAAAAACAGATAACAGACACCTAAATTCTTCCTATCTCAAGTTTCAATTTTAAATCTATAAAATCTATGTAAATTTCTATATTCCTAACACTATCTTGTAAAACGACAGTAATCTGATATCAGACACTGTGAGTCCTCAAAGGGGACTGGACCAAATAGTATAAAGTGTCTTTATTCTGTTGAAAATCCTTACTTTAAAATAAATATTCTGTTAGTTTACTTTTGACTTTTCCGCAACAATATTCAAATCGTTTTCTTAAGCAAAATAAGCTGATAGTGTATATAAACATCTCACCACTTGTTAAATGTACCTTCTTCATCCCAATGCTATGTGATCTTTATGTACATACAAATATAATTCTAAACGACAGCTTTGCTTTTGGTCAAAGAAAAGGGTACAGAAATAACTATGTACTCTTTATGTTCAAAGTGTTAATAGGTACTTCAGAAGATGAAAACACCAAAACTTTCAATACTTACAACACTTGTTTATTTTGATCAAGTATATCAGTGCTGAAATTCTAATTCAACCAAATAATTGAGATTTCTCCTCACACTTCTTTGTATACAGCATAATCACACATAATCTCAACTGCAATTTTATTGATATTCTATTTCCAGCAAATTCTACAAAAATAATACCAATAACAGCAGTAGAAACTATTTACTGATTGTACAAGCAGTATGCTTGGTACTGTGTTGAAGCACTTTACATACACGATCTCATACAACCCTCATGAACAACACTAAGAGACAGGAAAGACTTGTGTTAAGAGGTTAAATACCTAAGATCATACAGCTAGTAAAGCAGCAGATTTCCATTTCAAGGATCATGTTCTTAATCATTACACTGCTCTGCTATTATTTCACATCTGACAGTTGATTAAAAAAGTCTAAAGCTGAGCAAAAATGGTCTGTCCCTTTACATTCCCATTCTCTGTTCTTCATCCTTTGCCAGGCCTCCAGGCTTCATACCATTTTCACACACTGGAGGGGCATCTGATATCAGGAGCAATAAAGACAAAAGAAAAGAGAGTATATCTGATCCCCCAATTATTTTCTCTTCTTTTCAGTTGCTTAATGGTGACAGGAACCTTTGCAAAGCATACATATTACTGCTTATCTCTTGCTTCTTTGGACCCTGAGGCACAACTGTAAACAGCAGGCAGGTGGCACTTAGAAATTATAAAATGTGCTTCTTTTTGAAGCACAACTGCTAATTTTTAACAGATAAAAGTAGAACTGCATTTACCCATCCTACTCTCTGGTCACCTGCCATTTTGTCATGAGAAGGTAAAACCAGTTTATCCAAACTATTCAGATAAATTTTCTTTTTCTGTCTTTTACTGTTTAGCTAGGAAATTTCACTATGAGATTAACATAGCTTTAAAAAGTAGGAAAAAAAATTCCTGTTGACAGACATTTCTAAGGCATCTCCAAGAATTTCAATGTATCATTTAGACATCACTCCCAGAAGGCAGACGATGGACATTAAATACTAAAATGGGATAGAAAATCCACTACCACCAAATTTTACAGTAATAAAATTGTTTGGTGCTCCTATGATGATTCCTTAACGCTCTGTAAGACAGTGTCCTCTGTCTGCTATGCCACCTGAACAAATCCTTGCAAATGGATCCAAGAAAAACTTCCCCTAAAGAGGACATGCTGAAGATTTTGTGTCTGTTCATAACCAGTATCCACGACCAAGACTCAAAAAAGCAAAACAGTTCTTGTGTATACAACATAATAGAGTTGATACTACGTTGCAATAAATGTCTTATTACTGGGAAAAGATCGGGGAAACAGGGTTTAGGGGCCTATGTTCGCACCACCATGAGGGAGAGCCAACATAGCCCCAAAAGTAACCACAAAACTGACTGCCTGGGTCTGATACGATGTAAAATGTTGTCTGAGTCTAGAGATTAATGAACAAAGAAAATTAGTCCACTATTTCATATTTGTTTAACATTTAAAATTTGTTTTAAAAATGTGTTTAAAATTGTATTCCCTTATCAGGGTCTGTTTGTCTTCTGACAGGGTTAATGAAAAACATAACTACAATCTTCTTCCTAACAGATTCATGCAAGAGAGGGAAGAGAATGACTCCTATATACTTCAGATAGAAAGCTAATAGTGGGCAAAAAAAAAGACACGTAAACTTGATTTTTACAAAAGTAAAGTTTTAATCAAAGGTCATAAGAAAAACCTCTAATTTAGAGTACAATTATACCTCAGTATCTGTGGGGAATTGGCTCCAGGACACTCCACAGACACCAAAATCCACAGATGTTCAAGTTCCTTATATAAAATGGCATACTGTTTGCATATAAAATATGCACATCCTCCTGCATACTTTAAGTCATCTCTAGACTACTTATGATACCTAACACAATCTAAATGCTACGTAAATAGTTGTTACGCTGTATTATTTAAGAAAAAATAACTCACAAAAGTCTGCACATGTTCAGCACAGGCATTGTGGGTTGGTTGGTTTGTTTGTTTAAATATTTTCGATCAGCAGTTGGTTAAATCTACGGACGTGAAACCCACGAATATGGAGTGCCAACTGTATCTGTATGTCTATAAGTCATGTACACTTAATATAAACTAAAACCTAAGTTATCTTCTATCATCCCAAATTTAGTACTTTTTCAGTATTCCCTATCTCAGTGCATGGCTAACCGTAGTCAACTGGCACACAGGAGTACCAAGAATCACCTTCGCCACTTCTTTCTCTTGCTATTGCCCATATCCATTTAACCCAAAGACTTACTTGGATCCCTACTGGAATCCATCTACTTTTCTTCATCTTGCCCCTCTTTAAAACAGCATCACTCATTTTTGAACTACTGCAATACCTTTATAGACAGTTTCCTTATATCCACATAATCTGTTGCCAATATTACAGTCAGAATGTTACTTTCAAAACATAAAGCTAGGGACGCCATCCCACTAATTTGATGGCTTCTCAATGTACTTAGGATAAATACCAAAATCCCTAAAACCCTTGGCCAGTTACAAGGCCCATAAATGATTCTCTTCCTTACTAAAGCTAATCCCTCTACCCAATCTTTTGATTCCATTCATACCTCCTATCTCACTGTAAATTATTCTCTCTCTCCCTCGGGGCTTATTTAAAAGAAAAAAAAAAGATTCCTGGATAAGGAATAGTGAATTATAACTTGACTCAATTAAACAGTTTAAAGCATTTTCATTTTATTTAAAGGAAAATGTTTTACAACATCAAATCAAGTTTTCTCTACAGTGAGAAAGGATAGTAGTGACATGGAGAGAAGGGATTCCAGAGATGTAAGCAAGTAAGGTCTATAGGCCTTCATGATGGCTGGATACTAGAGATGAGAGGGGAGTAAGTGGCAAGGATGATGCCTAAGACACCGGCCTGAACACTGACAGGGTCATTTACTGAGAGAGAAAACACTGTATAAAGAACCTGATTTGCCAGAAACAATGTAATAAAGAATCATCAAGCAATGTATAAAAGGATTGTCAAGTGGCACTGAGGGCCTATAGAGATTACAAACCATCATTAAAAATATGAATTATAATTACCATTCTACGCCCATATGAAAGTATGAAAAATAACTAAAAATATATAATATAGGCTTCAGATTCATTTGAAAATACTTTTCAAGCAACACTTACATGCAAAATACTCTGTTCTCAGCACTGGAGATATAGTGGAAGGCAGGAAAGACATAGTTTCTACCTTCAAATTCATATAAAGAAAGATAATCAAAGAAAACAAATGAACAACAAGATAACTAGAAGAAAAAGGGTCCTGAAGAAGTGGCTGCTGAACTGAAATCTGAATTATCAGAAGGAATCACTCTTATTAAGAGCAAGGGGAAGAATATTCCAGACAAACAACTGAAGGACAAAGGCTAAGAGGTAAAGAACTTGCCAAGTTGTTGAAAAACTCTGAAAAAGTCACCGAAAAAGACTTGTAGTCAAGGCCTTTTTTAATATGTACTGTTCCTTTAGAGCATGGAACTGTGGATAGAATTCAGAAGAATTTTAACGGGAAAAAAATTTACAATTTTATTTTCATTAATCTCTAAATGAAATTAATTCTTTCTTCAGGAATTATTATTATAATTCTTCAGTATTATTATAAATGGTTACAACTTTGTCACCAACAAAGATCAGATTTTTTCATAACATTAGAATAAAGATATCACATAACATAATATAAAGATATTACGTAAGCTCATTATACTTCTAAAATCTGGTATTTATCAAATTTGCCACTAGATCGAGTTACACAATGCATTAGTAAAGAAGCACAAATCATGTCATAAATGTGTTTTTTAAAAATACAATTGGTTTTATCTTATGTATTTTCTTTTATGCCTTAAATATAGTATTCAGAAAGAGGATTCATAGGATTTCCAGTCTGCCAAAAGCACCAATGGCACAAAAAAATTATGAACTACAGTAAAAGATACTTGAGATTCCTAACAATGCAACTTATGGTGCTTGTTTGGGTCCTATTTCCAACAAACAAATTACAAAAAGACAATTTTCAGGAAATCAAAGAAACTGTAAAATGAACTGCGTGTTAGATTACACCAATATTATTTATTTTGTTGCATACAATGGCACTGTGGCTATGTCAAAGATGTCTATATGTTTGAGAGAGGCAAAGTATTTAGGAAAAAAATGACAGTGTCTCGATTTTGCATTTAAATACTTTAGGAAAAAAAGGAAGAGGTGGAACAGATAAGGAGAGCCTTTAAAAATGGTAATTATAGAATCTGTGTGATGGGAAGATGGAAGATCACGTGCTATTTTCTCTCATCATATTTATGTTAGAAATGTTTTATAATTAAGTAATTAAGAAAACCAAGAAAAAGAAATAGAATAAGGTATACCCTTTTAATAGCTGCTTCACAATAAGGAGCCTCTCTAAAGGAAAAAGAAAACAAAAAGGCACAATGTGCAGAGAGCAAACCAGAGAACAAGACTCCTTTCTCTAGGTTTATGTTGCCCTAGGCCAGGTTACCTGACTTGATGAGTGTGCAATGTAACCAGGGATTTTTCTCTTTTCTCCACCACTGTGCTCAGGAAGACTGCAAGAATCCCTAAAACTTGCTACAGTATTCATATTTTTTGACTATCTACTCTATCTAAAGGCACTCATGCACTCATTTCAAAGAAAAAATAAACCTAAATCCATTATATCAGCTGTCTGGGCCTAGAAAATTAAGTCTTTGATCAAACTAGTACATCTTGGTAGTAGAAATACCAATGGTTTAGGAACAATAATCTTATAGTCTTAAGTTACCAAGTAACAATCAAGTTTAGGCCTTCTATTTAGGAGGACCTGACAATTCAGAACACAGGATGGCAAAAGGAAGAGGGAAAAAGGATGCAGTGCCAGGTAACTGTAGTCTTCACAACTGAGAGCAAAAAGTCTGAATGGAAGAGTGACGGAATGCTTGACTTAGGCAAGTGGGCTATACAAGATGGTTCCCGGGTTGTCAAAAAAAATGACAAGAACCGAAAGAGAACTCTTTTCATTTATGTTAACTGGGATGAACTACTCATCTCTCAAATCTTAGCATATTTAAGGTAGGAACACATAAAAGGCGCTATAACCTGCAGTAAGGTTGGCTCACTAATCCTCTCTTCTTCCCTAACCTATTTGTACAGTTCCGCTCTTCTAATCTGTCATCAAACTCAACAGTCTCTCTCCCATCAACTGCTTGTCTTTCTACTGTAAGTCTTTTCTCAACTTGGCTGACAATACAAAAAAAAAACGCTTAACTTTATCATATGCTGTTATAAATCAGTTGGATATCTTAGCATAAATATTACTCATTATAAGAAATTTTCTTTAAAAAAAAAAAGAGTACCAAAAATCAGCCAGGCACAGTGGCTCACGCCTGTAATCTCAACACTTTGGGACGCCGAGGTCGGCCAATCACTTGAGGTCAGGCGTTCGAGACCAGCCTAGTCAACACGGTGAAACCCCATCTAAACTAAAAATACAAATATTAGCCAGGTGTGGTGGCACACACCTGTAGTCCCTGCTGCTGGGTAGGCTGACGCAGGAAAATCACTTGAACCCAGGAGATAGAGGATGTAGCAAGTCGAGATGCCACTGCACTACAGCCTGGGCGACACAGAAAGACTCTGTCTCAAACAAAACAAACAAAAATCAACTCTGTTTAACATTAAGCAACCAAAAATTCATAAAAATTTTTATTCTTCCAACACTAACAAATACATCTTTTTTTCACTTATTAAAAAATACTGATTGAGTGTGGTGGCATGCAGAACAATGGTCCTCCAAAGATCTCCATGCACCTTAGCCCCCAGAACCTGTGAATATTCTAACATTACATGGCAAAGTTACTTTGCAGAGAGCTTTAAAATAGGGAGATTTTCCTGATTGGCCCAGTATAATCACATGGACCCTTAAGAGGAAAGGAGAAGAGTCAGAGAGAAACACAGCAGAAGAGAAGAACAAGGGAGAATCAAAGCATGAAAGGGACTGTATCCACCACTGCTGATTTTCAAGATGAAGGAGGCCGTGAACCAAGTGGCCTCCTGAAGGTTGAATTAGCCCTCAGTTTACATCCAGCAAACAAACAGGGACCTCAGTCTTAAAATCACAAGGAACTGAATTCAATCAACAACCTCAATAAACCTGGAAGTGGTCCTTCCTCTAAGTTTCCCAAAAGGAACACATTCCTGCTGACACCTTGACTTCAGTCTGTGAGACTCTTAAGTGGAGGCCTCTCCCTAAGCGACGATATACCTGAACCTTGGATTTACAGAACTGTAAGAGAGTGTTTTAAGCTGCCAAACTTGTGGTAATTTGTTACTGCAACAATAGAAAATGAAGAGACGAAGTATCTACTTTGTCCCAAGAACTCTGCCAGGTACTGGGAATATAGTTGATTGATTAATAACCTGATAGCTGGGACATAGGCTCAACCATGCGCAGTGTTCGGCAGAGGCTAGTTCTCTCTTGATCCTGTTTGCTAATAGTTCTTAAAGCAATTTGCTTGCCAGTGTGTGCCTCAGTCTCCACAGCTGGAAGACAGCAGTAATCACACAGGGCTTTCTCTGGTGTGTAAACACTTGTGAGTTACCATCCATATAGTCCTTGGATAACCTGTGAAGACTTAACTGCCTCCTGATGCTGAAATCCATCTCCCACAAAATGCGGCTGTGCCCCCTACGCTCACAGATGTGGTTTGCAAAGATGTTGCCTCCAGTTCAGGGTATAGCACTTACTTGATGAGATAATTAGACATCAAAAGTAACTCAACAAAAACAAAAGATGACAAATAGGATCTAAGCAAAAGAGCTTCCACACAGCAAAAGAAACTGTCAACAGAGTAAACAGAAAACCAACAAAATATGGGAAAATTTTTGCAAACTATGCATCCAACAAAGGTCGAATATCCAGCATCTATATGGAACTTAACGACAACAACAACAACAAAAAAACATTAAAAAGTAGGGCAAACGGCATGATCACTTTTCCAAAGAAGACGTACATGTGGCCAACAATCACATGAAAAAAGGCTCAACATCACTAGTCATTAGAGAAACGGAAATCGAAACCACAATGAAGATACCATCTCATGCCAGTCAGAATGGCTATAATTAAAAAGTCAAAAAACAAGATGCTGGCAAAGTTGTGTAGAAAAAGGCAGGCTTACACATTGTTGGTGAAAGTGTAAATTAGTTCAATCATTGTGAAAGAAACTGTGGAAATTCCTACAAGACCTAAAGACAGAAATATCACTTAACCCAGCAATCTCATTACTGGGCATATACTCAAAGGAATATAAATCATTCCATTATAAAGACACGTGCATGTGTATATTCACTGCAGCACTAGTTACAGTAGCAAAGACACAGAATCAACCTAAATTCCCATCAATGATAGACTGGATAAAGAAAATGTTACATATACACCATGGAATACTATGCAGTGATAAAAAAGAATGAGATCATATCCTTTGCAGGGACATGGATGGAGCTAGACACTATTCTCCTTAGCAAACTAACGCAGGAACAAAAAAACAAATACCACATGTTCTCACTTATAAATGGGAGCTAAATGATGATAACACACAGATACACAGAGGGGAACCATACACACTGAGGCCTATCGGAGGGTAGAGGGTAGAGAGGATCAGAAAAAATAACTAATGGGTCCTACGCTTAATACCTGGGTGATGAAATAATCTGTACGACAAACCCCCATGACACAAGTTTACATATGTAACAAACCTACACATGTACCCCTAAACTTAAAAGTTAAAAAAAAAAAAAAATTACAATTACAAAAGGGATCACACTAAGAAAAAATACTCTTCGGGATTT